GGAGGTGCATCGCGCAGCCCTTGAAGCAGGGATCGACCTAAACTGTGTTTTTGTTCGTTTTCGAGCTGCTTTCAGTCTCCCCCACTCTGTCTTCGTTCTCCGCCCCTGCTGCAGAACGAGGTCCAAAACGAAAACGGCCCACGAAAAATCGCCAAAAGCACCGCCGAGGTCGAGCCCTGCCTTGCAGAGCCCCGCGCGGGCGATGCGGGCCATGGCGTCGAGCCGGATCCATGCTGCCTGGGAGGGCCGTCCCCTGCAGCACACGAGGTACTCCCGCTGGGATGGCCACCGCGCGCCGGGCCTGGACAGCTGGCCGCCGTCTGGCACCAGCACCATGCCAGGGAAGCTCGGGAGACCCTGGCGACATCTCAAGCCTAAACGGCTGCGCGAACGCTGGCGTCCGCAGGTGCTCCATGCATCCAGCAGCGTGCTGCAGTGCTGCTTGACCCCGAGAGGGCCTCAAGTAGACTGCCAACAAGCTTCCATATCGAAAGGTCCACGATCACACTTCCCTCTCTTTGTTACACTGCGTGCTCCTTCTCTCTGTTCCACTTGACGGCTGCTCCTCTCTTCGTTCCACTGCGTGCTCCTACACTTCCTGCCCCGCATGGGCATCGCTGCTAGATGGGCTGATGGGGATACGCGACGATACTGCGTGGTTTTTTGTCGGTTGGCAGGGTGTGCAACCGTCGGTGACGTAGAACGACCTTGGGAGTCAAAAGTGAGACATCACCACGTCCTGGTTAACAAGTTTTTGTCCATTCAGCGAATATGTATGCATACATGTGTACACATACCGTAGCCATTTTGGCTCAAGCCATTTTGGCTCAAGCCATTTTTGGCTCAAGGTGGCTTGAGGAGGCTTGAGCGGCGCGCGCGGCGCGCCCGCCGGCCGCGGCGCGCCTGGCGCTTCATGGGGAAGCGGCGTGCCCAGCAGGGGCGCGGCGGGCAAGGGGGATGGCGTGGCCAGTCCCCGGAGCGCTGCCACCACTCCCCCCGGGATGGTGCTGGGGATGGCTCGCGGTGCCGGTCCCGGAGCCGCCCAAGGCCGCCGTGGAGCCAGCACCCGGGTGCTGGGCCGTGCGGTCGGGGCCGCCGGCGCCAGAGCCTGCGGCCGCAGAAGGCGGAGCGTCGGCGGCGGCGCCGAGCGCAGCAGGCGTCGGGAGCAGCGCATGGCCGCCTGCGGCGTTCGCGGAGCCTGAGTGGCCGGGCTGGCTCCCCTTCGGAGGGGCGCCGTCGCTCGGGGCCTCGAAGCTCGAGGCACAGCCGCTCGCCCCCGGGGGGCCCAGCGATGGCGGCGCCAGCGAGGCGGGTGCCCACGACGCCGCCGCGCACGGCGTGGGGGCGGGCCAGCAGCCAGGGTCTCCGCTCCCCCGAGGTGCCAGCGTCGCTTCCTCAGCGAGCTGGGAAGGAGGGGGCGGGGGCAGGAGCGGAGGCGGACGTGGAGTACAGCTACTACACCCCGACGTCGGACGCGGACGACGCCCCAGGCGCTGCGGCTCCACCTGCGCTCGCAGTCAACCCCCCCTGAAGGAGGTGTCGCCGCCGGCTTCGAGCCAGGCCCCGGTAGCCGGGGCCCCCGGCGACGGCGGGGGCGGCGGCAGCGGGAGCGGCCGCAAGCGGGCGGAGCTGGTCGCGGCGGCCCTGCGGGTCGCCGGACTTCGGGGATACAAGGCCGAGGCAGTCCCCGAGAGCATCCTGCTCCGGTGGGCTCCCTGAAGGAGCCAGCGGATGCGAGCTGGTCCGGCTCGGAGTCGGGTGGCCCTGGCACGTCGATCGTGGCTTGATTCGGGCAGCCCCCGTGAGCGGTGGGCCGACGTCGACGACGGCGACGCGGATGACGCGGCGCAGCCGGCAGCGCGCCGCGCGGTCGCAGTGGCCACGCCCCCTAGGCAGCGGCCGACGCAGGCCCCGGGCCGCCAGTGCTGCAAAGGCAGCCCTCGCCCGTGGCAGGGTGGCGGCGCGGCCTGCCCCATGGACGAGGGCGAGTTCGACATCGAGGGCGAGTACAACGCCCTCGGCTCTGCTGTCGTTCCCTCCCTCCCTCCTGGGCCCGTCGGCCCGGTCGAGGTCGAGGTTGCTCCGGTGGAGGTGGTTCCTCCCGGGCAGGAGGCCGGCGTCACGGCCAACACCGACAACGCCCTCGGCTCTGTCGGTCTTTCCCTCCCTCCTGGGCCCGCTGGCCCGGTCGAGGTCGAGGATGCTCCGGTGGAGGTGGCTCCTCCCGGGCATGAGGCTGGCGTCGCGGCCAGCATCGAGGAGACGCTGGCGCGGCTCTGCTCTGCCCTCCGCGGGGGGGCCGAGCTTGGCGCCTTGGTCGGACCGCCCCCTGGCGTGGGCGCGGCGGCTGCGAAGGCACCAGCGAAGGAACATCTTGCTGGGGCCAGGGCCGCGGCTGGGTACGAGGTGGCGCTTGCGCGGCTCTGCCTGCAGCGGTGGAGCGGGTGGACCCCTGCCCCCGCGACGCCTCCCCCACCGGCTCGGCCCGAAGAGGTCGAGCCGACCTGCCCTCCCAGAGCCGCCGATCTGGTCGAGGTGCCGCGCAGCCCGATGGAGGCGGCGGAGGCTGGGCCAGCCCTCGCGCGCTCCCTCGGCCTGGATGCGCCCCTCCCTCCCGGGCCAGGCCCGGTGGAGGTCGAGGCGGCCGGCTCCCCGCTGGGGCTGGCCGAGGCTGCGGAGCCGCCCGCCCCCCTCCCGGGCCAGGCCCGTTGGAGGACGTGCCGGGCGGGGCGGAGGCCGCGGAGGCGGCAGCTCGTGTTCACCACATGGCGTTGGTGAGCGCGCTGGTCTGGGCAGGCGGACGGCCGGCCGAGGAGGAGCTGGCGGCGTTGCTGCGGGCCCCCACGGGGGGGGAAGCGGCGGCAATTGCAGCGCCGACTGGACGTCGCGCTGCGCCAGCTCTCTGGCCCAGCCCTCGCCGAGCTGATGGGCCAGATGGCTGCCAGCATCTTCGCCGCTGCCAGGCGGAGGTAGGCGTGGTTGCTCGCCGGCCGCGGCCGCGGCGGGGCCGCCGCGGCGCCCTCGGGTGAGTGCGGGGCTGCGCCGGCGCGGGCGCCCCCTGCCTGCCCTCCCCCTCTTCCCCTCCCTCCCCCCCTTCTTCTGCGCCGCCTCTTTTTCGTTCGTCTGTCGTCCGTCGTCCGTCGCTCGTCTGTCGCGTCGTGCCGCTGGGCTCCGTCTGCGCTGGTAAAAGTGTACACGTAGCGTGAATGTACTTGCACCTGGTGTTTTCAACGCTCACACGCAATGAAACCAGCGACTGTCGAGGGTAAATGCTTCCAGTGTCTGGGTTGCAGCTGTAGTGAACGGGTGAGATAATGCAAACAACGCGCCAGCGCTGCATATGAGTCTGCATGCTCGCCCTGCTAAGTGGCAAGAGACCGTCCCTCATCCCTGCAAATCGCCCAGCTAAGATTTGGCGCCGATGCACACGCGGCCCCTCGTGGCCTGACACTGGTCAGCGCAATCCTCAGAAAGTCATGCGGCGACGCACGACGGCGCCAAGCCGACAACTGGAAACTCCAAGATGCCTCAGAGATGAATTCCGATTCCTCCTATATGCTCCAAGGTCAGCTCGGAGAAGGCCCCATACCGCCTCACTGGCACGAGCAATTCGAGCCCCAGAGACTCAGGAAAAAAGCAGTGATTTGCGTGAGGTGTCCCCACAATGGTTCCCAACGACCCCAGTCTAACGCCAATATCGGGCCACAATCGCCCAACGGTGTTTCCAGATGGCCCTACACCCAAGGAGCCTCTCCCCGATCCAAGCGGGAGAAACCATTGAGCCTGCACCCAGGGCTGTCGGGTGGCCTCCTGACCCCAGCGAAGCAGGGCGGATGACAGATACCAATGGACACGGGCACAGGAAAATGGAGGCACCGCGCCGTGAGATGGTCAATCTGGGACCACCTACCCCATGTAGGAAGGCACCAACTATACACCAACACCGATCCTGGCCAGGATCACCCTGGGCCCAGGATCGGTGTATACGCCCTCCTGCCTTGCGCAAGAAGGCATATACACCGATCCTGGGCCCAGGGTGATCCTGGGCCAGGATCGGTGTTGGTGTATAGTTGGTGCCCTCCGACCATGGCCAGATCGGTGGCAGACGTTGCCGATCGCCCCGTCGTTCGAGCGGCCCCCTGGGGAATTGCGTCAGAGCCTAAATATTGTGAGCTTCGGCAGGTCACACATCACGAACGTGGAGCAGCACAGCCAGTCTCCGAAGCCTCTGCCCCGAGGGGTCGGCAAGGGCAAGCCTTCGAAGGGAGCCATGCACTAGCCAGCGAGAGCCTCGGATTTCGAACAACCAGCTCGCCGAGCCTGGCACAAAAGAGAATGGCTGGCAGTGGCCCGCCTGGGGCGCCCGCCAAGGACCTGGGCAACAAAAAGCGTGGAGGGGGCCCTGCTCCAGGAGGCTTTCTTCGAGCCCTGTTACACATACTCGTTGGTGCTATTCGCAGTCCGATGGAGGGGGGTGTCCTCCTGGCTCCTTCAAAGGGCGAAGGGACCCCGCCAGGCAAATGGAGCAACGACGATGGCAAGTCCACGACCGCTTTCCTGTCCTCGTCACCACGCATTCGTCACGGCCAGCAAGCAGCGGTGCCTCCGCAAGCTCTGGGACCGCGAACTCTCGCGGCAAAGCTGCACCGCGGCGTGGAGCTGACGAGTGCCTGGGCAACTACGAAGACGGCAAGTGCACGAGCGGCCCCACGATTGGGGGGCGGAAAGATACGGATACGTGTTGTCCCCGGACCTCTCTTGGGGTGCGTTCTGACCAGAATTTCGAGGCGAATCCAGCGGTGACAACGAGGATTCCCCAGGAGGACCAGGAAAGGCCGAAAACAAAGGGGGACAACACGTATCCGTATCTTTTTTCTCCCCCGACACGACGACGGGGGGGGGAGGGGGAGGCAGGCAGCAAGCGGGCGCGCAAGCGAGCGAGCGACCCCCCCCCAACCGTGCGGGCGCGGCGGGATCGCAGCAGGGCCGCCCTGGGGGGCCTGTGCGGTCGACGTCCTGGGCCTTCAGCGCCGCGATGGCGCGCCCGAGCGCGTCGACCTGTGCGCGAGCAGGGCAGGGTGGCGGCGCGGAGCCGAAGGAAGCTCGAGGATCGAGGATCGAGCTGGATCGAAGGATCGAGATCGAGCTGGATCGAGATCGAGGATCGAGGATCGAGCTGGATCGAGATCGAGGATCGAGCTGGATCGAGGATCGAGGATCGAGATCGGGGATCGAGGGTCGAGGATTGAAGATCGAGGGCGTCGGACGCCTTGTCTTCGGGCCTGCGGAGGCCTCTGGGGGCCTCCCAGCGAGACGAAAGAGGCGAGGAGACGACGACGGAAGAGCGGACTCGAAGGGGACGAGCTCGACCTCCACGGGAGGGGGGGGGGGGAAGGGGGGGAGTTTCCGAACGCGCTCGTCGCTTCGCGGATGCTTTATAGACTCGCGACGCGCTCCAGCAACCGCGCCTGGACGAGAGCGTTCCGGCAGGGGGGGGGGGCGCCAGGTCGTCCCCGAACGGCCGCCAGAGGCCCGTTGACACACAGACCGACCAGCCCAGACCTCCTCGCATCCTGACAAAACCTCGCCCTGACACGCGGAATCCTCGTGCCACCATCCCCAAAAGCCAGATGAGGGGCGGAGAGGCTTCTGGTTCGCCACGGCGAGCCTCGGCCGCGGACAGACTCCCCGACCCGGGTCTGAGGAACGGCCCGGAAACCGGAGCCCGTCCCGAGCCCAAAGTGGTCGTTGACTGTAGGGGGGCGAGGCCGAGGGCGACGAGGAGCAGAAGAGGGGAGCAGAGCTCCCTGGAGGGCAGGAAGGCCAGAGGGCCGGAAGGGGGCACGGCTCAGCAGCAGGGAACAACAACGGAGCAGCATCGCGGGGGAGCATCGAGCGCAAGATGAGAGGAGCTCGTGCTGCCCATTCTGTCATCGCCTGGTGCTTCCGTTGTTTCCTCGCTTCCCGTGCACAAGCGCGACGAACGTATACCCGACACCAGGCCAACGTCAGGCCAGAGGAGGAAGCAGGCGAGGGCGAGAGCGCAGTGCAGGAAGAGGAGTGCAGGAAGATCCCGGGGGTCATCGGGACATCGCTCGTGGAATACGGGTGGTGAGGTCATAACTTCTCTTACTCTGCGCGGTCGGGCTGTGAGATGTGAAGCGTGAGTGCCTCGTCAACGATGTGTGGCACGCCGTGCAGTACATACCTGCGTGAACCCTGGCGATCTGCGGATCTGAATCTCGGTAAACAGCCATGCCACTGCAGGCGATGGAGCGGCAGGGCAGGGGACGACAGCAGGGGCCCCCCCCCTGGACAGGGCCATACCAGGACGCTGAAAACACACATGGCTGGACTCGCACGGTGGATCATCTGGAGGCCGCGCGCTGGATGCACAAATGCGGAAGCCTGGCCCTCCAAGGCCACGGAGTGGCCGGGAGCTGGAAAGGCATATGGCCGCACGCGTGACCAGCTCTCGCCCGGTCTGGCCGCGTCGCGCACTTCTCCATTCTGAAGGGTGGTGCGGGCAAGATCTATCGACATCCAGTTGGAGGGGGTGCCCCAAGACACCAGGGCGCACTGGAAATGGACGAATTAGGCGGCAGGCTTGTATCCCATATCCACCTCGGGCTTCCGAGGAAGGGAGCCCGAAACTCCAAGCTGCTGTGGACATGGACAGGTGTATTGCCAACAGGCCGGGAGCCTCGCGGGTCCGTGGCCTGCCCTGGCGCGGCAACGGATCTTGAAGGACGGCTGCCCGAGCGCGCGGCGAGAAAAGCGCTGGGACGAGGACGGCCGCGCCTCCACGCGTGAACCCTATACCCCTGCAGGTCGGAGCTTTGAAAACAAAAAGCGGCGAGCCTGGGGGGGAAAGGAGAAGTGGCGGGCCTTCTCGGAAGGCCCGGAAGGCCCCGGGCCTTCTGACAAGTCTTCTGAGCCTTCCCCGAAGACACGCAACACGTCTTGGAAGGCCCGAGGGCTTCTGAGAAACCCCGCCGCCTTCTCAGAAGGCCTGCTCCTTATCACTTCCCTCTGGGGCGCGCCGCCGAGCTTATACAGCCAAGCGAACCCCAGCGTGAGCGTCCGATGCCCTAGCGTCGATTGGACCCGTAGGGGTACGGTTCGCAAATGGTCGCAGATGGGGGGCTGGTTGGGCCGGCGGCAAAGACAGGGTCCGGCCAGGGCGCTTGAACCAAGAGGTCGGCCCGGGGATCTGAGCTGATTGGGCCCCGAGAAAGTCGGTCAAGAAGGGAAGATAATGGCAAAGCCGCTCAAAATCCGCCGACCCTGTCGGCGTGTGGAAGATGCTTTTCCGTTCGTCGTGAACGTCGTCGTCGTCGTCGCCGCCGCCGTCGTCGTCGTCGTCGTCGTCGCCGTCGTCGTCGTCGTCGTCGTCGATGCTCTTCCGTTCGTCGTCGTCGTCGTCGTCGTCGTCGTCGTCGTCGTCG